TTATAAGTCTGTTATACTATATTTTATTTTTTGGGGGCCTCAAGAAAGTGGGGGCCCTAAACTATATCTTGTATAGCTTATATGTAAATCCTGCACTGGTGAAGATGATAGCTGCAAATTTGAAGGTTTTCAGATATCGGAAACCAAAGGTGAAATTTTCCCATTAATGGATTTATTAAAGAAATGTGGAGAAGTAGTAATACATGAAGATGACATAAAAGTTCTTCATTGTGATGACAATACCTCAATCATCAATTAATTAACAGATGGCAAAGTCTGTAATGTGGTTCTAGATTCAGAAAATACCGCTACTGATAGTGATAAAAGTGACAAGAGAGGTTATTGAAAATGAAACAGTTTCAATTAACAAGTTAGTCAGAATTCTTGACACAGTAATTATAAGACTTGAACAATGGAACTTTGCAACTGAACAAGAAATTAAATCTCTCTATAGTATTAATGCAAAAAATGAAGCAACTTAAACAACATACACTGAAAGAAATGTTTAATAAAGTAAACAAATACACATTAAGCTTTTTTTTTTTTTTTTTTTTTTTAAATTTTGATACCCTTTTAGATCATAAATGAACCATTATTTCATATTTTTAATTTCATAATTTCTACAAGCTGTTTTAGATTTAAACTGATGATCCAGAAAAATCCTAAATCCAGGATTGCTAAAGTCCCAATGAGGCTGGATTTCGGACTTTGCACTGATAGTACAACTATCAACTTATTGCATTAATAGTACAATTAACAACCTCCACTTTTGATGGAGAAAAACCAAGGGAAATGGATTTGAGTGTCTCTTCCCCTACAATATCAAACCACCTGAGAAGACTTCCAGCTTGCTATTAAGTGTTCTGTGGGATTTGAACCCAGGCCCTATGATACAGCAGTCAGAATCACTAACTGCTATGCCTATTAGGGTGGCAGCTTATATCATGGTTGATATGTAGCACATGCCGAGTAAATTTTTGCCATTTTATGAAAACATTCGACAGATGACCAGTTATGATGATGACAAGGTGATTTTTTCAAATTCATTTATGAAGCATTACTTAAATAAATAAAAAATAATATCCAAAATAAAAAATATTATTTATTACTTTTTAAATTACAAATCTACATTTTTTCCTATATATAATTTAAATAACAAATTTAAGCAGAAAATTTTGCACTACAGTTTTTCTAAAAGTTATTTCAAAACATTATTTAAAAAAATAATGTGCATGAATGCAAAAATGAGCCCCCTTTTTTTCAAGGAAACAAGGCTGAATCATGTTATTCAAAATGGCTCCACCCTATTTATTTTGGATAAAAAGGATTATTCTATTTTACTTTTTAATTAACACTTTGCGGGCAGCGCATTTATCGAAGCGCCGTTACGCTGCCGCCGGTTCACGCAGGTTCTACTGCTCGCCAACGGTGATATTTACGCAATTTTTCGAAACATAAGTAGTTGGTATATACACTGAAGTGACAAAAGTCATGGGATACCCCCTAATATTTTGTCGGTCCTCCTTTTGCCCGGCGAAGTGCAGCAACTCGACGTGGCATGGACTCAACAAGTCGTTGGAAATCCCCTGCAGGAATATTGAGCCACGCTGCCTCTATAGACGTCCATAACTGTGAAAGTGTTGACAGTGCAGGGTTTTGGGCATGAACTGACCTCTTGATGATGTCCCATAAATGCTCAATGGGATTCGTGTCGGGCGATCTAGGTGGCCAGATCATTCGCTGGAATTGTCCAGAATGTTCTTCTAACCAATCGCGAACAATTGTGGCCCGGTGACATGGCGCATTGTCATCCATAAAATCCCATTGTTGTTTGAGTACGTGAAGTCCATGAATGGCTGTAAGTGATCTCCAAGTAGCTGAAGGTATCCATTTCCAGGCAATGATCGGTTGCACCAGAGGACCGAGTCCATGCCATGTAAAAACAACCCAGACCATTATGGAACCACCACCAGCTTGAACAGTGCTTTGTTGACAATTTGGGTCCATGGCTTCGTGGGGCCTGTGCCACACTCAAACCCTAAAATCAGCTCTTACGAACTGAAATCGTGACTCATCTGACCAAGTCACGGTTTTCCATTCGTTTACGGACCAACCGATATGCTCACGAGCCCACGAGATTTGCTGCAGGCGATGTCATGCTGTCAGTAAAGGCACTCGAATCGATCTTCTGATGGCATAGCCCAAGGAAGACAAATTTCGCCGCACTGTCCTATCGGACACGTCCCTCGTACGTCCCACATTGATTTCTGCGGTTATTTGACGCAGTGTTGCTTGTCTGTGAACATTGACAACTCTACGCAGACATTGCTGGTCTCGGTCGTTAAATGCAGGTGGTCGGCCACTGCGCTGTCCATGGTGGGATGTTATGCCTGAAATTAGATACTCTCGGCACACTCTTGACACTGTGGATCTCGGAATGTTGAATTACCTAACAATATCTGAAATGGAATGACCCATGCGTCTAGCTCCAACTACCATTCCGCGTTCAAAGTCTGTCAATTCTCGTCGTGCGGCCATAATCACGTCAAAGCCTCTTCACATGAATAACTTGAACACAAATGAAAGCCCTGCCAAAGCACTTCGCATTTATAAATTTTCTATGAGATACTACTGCCATCTGTATATTTGCATATCGCTATCCCATGACTTTTGTCACTTCAGTGTAATTATTATTAAAAAAAGCACTAAAATAACTGTTACACTATTTTTATTCTATTTTATTCCAATTATATTTTTAATTAGTACTAAAACTTTTTATTTAAAAAATTTAACTCCTAGGATCCATAGTTCTTTTTAGTATGATAATTCTGAAAACATTTTCCAACATGCAGAGAAATGTTGCAGGAAGAACACATGTATGCAGTGGAACTTCTTTTCTTGGCGGCAGTGCAGACTTTATAGGCCCTTTGCGGGTTTTGAATTCTCCCATTACCACTAATACGTGTTATTCTATGTTTTCTCACATCCGTAGTAAGTCTGCCTGGTGGATCAAACCTCGGCGATCTTTTATCACACTGAGCAGCCGATCTTGATTGTTGCTCCTCTTCATTCCCATTAGTCCATGCTACATGGATTAATGGGAATGAAGGTTTAGTAAAAATTGTTTGAATCTAATAGGATTTTCAAAATTTTTTATGTATATCTGGAACGCGTTGAGTAATGCACAGTTTATGAGATATAAAACCGTTTTTTTGGTCCATTTTTTTGTTTTGCAAAGTACGGAATAACACGATCGGCATTATCAACACCTTTCATAAATTTATTATACTCGTGTATGCAAATTGGTTTAATGCACTTCTTTTTGGTTCTTTTACTCACACATTCGATCATGTCTGCTGAATGTATCGTAGAAATCATCATTATCAATTTTTTTGGCCGAATTCCATTTTGTACCATAATTTTCCCTTTTCTACGAAATTCCATTGACTTATTTTTCAATGTAGCAGATTTTAAACAATTTGGCACTTCTCTGTTTACTCTAATTGTGCCACAGATGTTTGTTTTATGCTTTAGTAACTCCTCTGCAACCTTTACACTATTGTAATAGTTGTCCATATATACATCGTGCCATAAATTTAAATATGGCGATAGCACGGACAATATTGTCGCAATTAGCGATTTTCCTTGCGCGCAATATATTTCTAAATTGCATATATAACCAGATGTCGCCTCACACACCATACGGACTAAAATTCCATATTTTATAATTTTCACAGGATTATATGTATGAAAAGATAGCCTGCCCCTCATGGAATGATACCTTCATCCAGCGATAATTCTTTCTCAGGTTTATAAATGTTTTGAAACTTTTCTACCAGGTACAAGTAAACTGGTTTTATTTTATCAAGCCTTTCTTGGCAATGCTCATTATTACTGAAGTGCCAATACTCCCATAACTGCCAAAATCGGTTCCTTGGCATAGTATTCCCCAAAATAGGTGTATGTAATCCAGGGTGAGTAGATCAATAATCGTCTTGTTCTGGTTTTCTTACTATTCCCATTAGGATAACAAGCCCCAAAAGTTTTCATTTCTACAACATTTGTATCAATTCAAGCTTTATTCTTTGTTGATGCATTGTCGTTATCATTATTCTGCTGATTATGATATAAGTTTGTTTGTGTGGCAAACAAATTAAATAAGTCGTCCCCAATGAACAATTCCACAGCTGATAATATATCTGGTGTGTATGGTACCTGTAACCCAAACCGTTCCAGGCAAGCATGAAAGTTGGGTTTAAAATCAACTTCTGACCAATCATTTGCCACAGAATTCTCTTCATCACTTTCAGATTCACTAATTATTGGTCTTCCCTTATTTTTGAATCGTCTCACAATTATATTGCTCCCACTGTCCGAATCACTTTCACTATCAGAGCAATTTTCCTCTTCTGATAACAGATCAGCATATATTTCCTCATCGAAGAGCATTTGAAGGATATCTTTAAATCTAAAGTTTCCGATATTTGAAGGCAGCGAAAGACAGTCTCAAACTAACAAAACAAGCATCCACGAAAAAAGACTTCAACAATTGACAGTCTGGTGAATTGGGAGAGGAAAACTGTTGAAACCAATGTTTCCTGATCATCAAATGTTTTGCTATAGTATGTCTATCTATACAAAAGTCGATGTGAAGCATCCTCGTTGGCGAAAATAAGTCACACGTACGTGATAGCAGCCAATAACTGTTGGCGAGCAAAAGTCATGCCAGCGTGTGACAGCGGCTGATAACCATTGGCGAGCAAAAGTCACGCCAGCATAACAGCCGCCCACAAAATGTTAAAATTAAGAACAGTGTCATCCTCCCTTTTGCTAGTTATGTTTTTAGACACAGCTCTAATTGATAAACAAATTACTTTATTTTTTAATACTTTAAAAATCTATCCTCAGTTTTTTAGCATTTAAAAATCAAGTTTTTTAGTAAACTGTGAAAAATATCTTACCAAACAGTTACAGTCATTAACATCGAAGTAATTACTTACTGTTGTGCAAAAAATTAAAACTTGGAAAATTCCTCAAGGATTGACAGAATCTCAACAAGCTTGCCATTTCAGCATATCTAAAAGTGAAAATTCTCACATGTAGCAAAAGCACACATAAAGATTTAACAATTAAACCAACAGAATTTTTTTTATGCTACTTATACTGATTTCTGACTTCAATTAAAATTATCTGAAATAGTTTGTTAGTACACAATTGAGACTCAATGCAATGTTTCTTGCAATTTTGGTATTTTTCCAGCATTAGGCAGTGAATATTTTTAGTTTTATATAATCATTTCAAACCACAGAATCAATAAAAAATTTTCAATAATTACCATCTTAACTTCATCCAGTTATTTTTTATACAAAATATCCCAACAGGTACTAAATTATCATCAACAAGTGTCTCTAAGGAATATCTGTATGAAAATTCTTCCTAGTTATTACATATTCAAATGATATCTACTGGATCAACAATTTTCAAGAAAATCCAAATTTTTAAAACAAAGAATTTAAATAATGATAAATTTTTCAATTTACAAACATTATGAGTAAATGTTTGGATTCGAAATTTACAGATTACTGATTTTGTAATTACCTTGCATGCTGCACCAAATTAAAAATGAGAGTACTGCTATATAAAATATTCACTAGTAAATAGTTCTTTTAATAACACTGCAATATATTATACTAATCTGAACTTTAAAAAACATTTTCCTTTAATCATTTTTGGGATTTTCTTGTGGATTTAAAAGAGCAGAATTTAAATATAACATTTAATTTTAAATAATATCTACCAGTTTTTAGTAAGAGGATGAAGAAAACTCACTTATGTTAAGAAATTCTATCAGACTCCATATATTTTGTTATTCATATTGTTAAGAATTTTGTACATATACGGATAATTTTAGTGAAATTACGAGTGAAACTGTTATATTTTTCTGCATAATATAACATGAAAATCTAGAGTGAGGATGCTCTGCCAGAAAAATAGGAATACAGAAGCAAATCTAATTAATATTGAGTAAACAGTAATTAATATTGGGTCGATTTAGAGAGAATCTAAATCGACGAGATATTGCGAAGCTGGCAATGGTTTTGGCAACAGTTTGGTCCAGTCCCTGTATCACCGTAATAGATATAGTAATTGAATAAATGTAATTGGTCACTATATTAGCTGTAACCGTATCTAGCCCTCATATGCTTTCCAGTAATTTTGAAAAGCAGAAAGGACTAGAAATACTTCAGTGGCCAGGTAAAAACTATATAAGGCCAGAGAGAGGATCTACCATCAGTTGTTGTGAGCTGTTAACCACCTGTACGAATATTTCTGTTGATAGTTCAAAAATCTGAAGAGATTATTTCTGTTGATAGTTCAAAAATCTGAAGAGATAATTTTAATATAAATTTTATCAGCCTATCATCAAACAAATGTGCAATGAATATTTATTACGAACTCATACGCATGCAACCATTTTTGGTGTCAGGAGTGGGGTTGAATACCAGTGATAAGAGCAATGGAAGAGCAATTATGACAGCTGGCGGAAGCCTTTGCTGCATTCAAAGTAGAGATGTAAGCTCGTCAAGAGTCTGTTAAAGAAGGAATGGAAACTGTTCAAAAAATGATGGAAGCTTATCAAGAATCTGTTAAAGCAGAAATGAAAGCTGTTCAAAATAATTTTGAAGCAGGTCAAGAGGAAATGAAAAGAGAAATTATCTGCATAATAGAAAACAAATCCAGTGCTATGGAAGGAAAAATAAACACGTTTAAAAATAGGGTTGGAATAACTGAACAGTTTCTTCTGTCAAAGAACAAATCGAAGCCAGAGTTACTGCCATTGCGAAAGAAGCTGACATATTAAGGAAATGCATAGCAACAGCAGGAAGCAATTCAGATGGCTTAAAATTTTTATACATACCATCTTGTCTCTAAAACTATCCACATATGATAGTAAGATTTTCTGGCAACTCTACTAGGCACAATTTTCTATAGCAGATGCAAATCTTTCGGCACGTGGGCTTCAATTAAAATTTTGTCAAAAAAGCCCATGGAAACACTCCAGGAGCTTGCCTCAGATGTTGAAAGGTTGTCTCATCTTGCCATTTTGGAGTGCTCGACAGAAACAAGGGAAATCCTATCCCTGCAATACTTCATTGATGGCATCCAGGATCCTCAAAGCTCTGCAAATGGTGGATGTCAAGCATTTAAAAAGCACTCTAGTGTATGCCATTAAATTCAAGCCAGCCCAGCAACTCTTAGAGATTGCCACCCAATCAGAGCTGCTCAAGTTCACGAGCCAGTAGATCAAGTGACTGCTCGTCTAGACGATTTAACCAGTGGCTTGATATAGAATAGGAGTGACAAGAAACCAACCCTCAGCTGCCGGAAGTGCGGTGCTGAAGGCCACATATGAAGGAACTGCAGAACAGCCCCAGGTCACGGAAGCTAAGACTGCTCCCAGGAAGGAGGGAACTAATTAATGGTCATCCTGAATGGTGGAGGTTGCCAGATAAGAAACCCCATTTTAAAGCACTTCAGATTTTTTCAATGAATGACAGCAGTAATGAACTCTTCATCATGGGACGGGATCATCAATGGAGTTCCTTGCAATATGACTATCAATGAGTCAATGTTACCATCATCCAGAAAGATTTAGCTCAACAACTGGAAGGTAAACTCATCTGGACATTGCCCTATGTTACCCTCCACATTGTGTGTGGGGATAAAACCAACATCGATGGAAAATTCATGGCTAACATCAGGTTTAGAAGTGCCGTCACGTGGCATATGTAGCAAATATTACAGACCCCCTGCATACATGGATTAGACTTTCTGTGCAAATACAATTTTTCCTTGAACTTTAAAAATATGGAACTGCATTCTGCCTCTGAGGACATCACCCTACTTGGAATCAATGATGAAGAAGTTAAATCTGCTGAACAAATCAAAGCTCAAGACAAAATATAATACCAGCAAAAACAGAAATTTTACTTTATAATTGAAAACAGAAATTTGTGGTACGGCATCATGGAATATAAAAAAACCTGCAAGAGTGCAAAAGGAGTACTCAGCACTTGTCGACTTATCGAAGACCATTATCCCGGTGACAAATGCCATGTAACTGATAAGGATAAAGTCATTATGAAGGTGTAGTGGTTGCAGCATGTGCTTCCAGTGACCTGGGTTAAATGAAACAGTAATCCTCCAGGATATGTGTTGTCAGACACCCTAAAATTGGCATTATTGCAGAAAGTGCAACCAACCAATGAAGAGAGGAGTGCTGCCAAACATGTCAATCAAGAATTTTAAGATGCTTTCTTCTGTTCGTCTTTTGACATAGGTCAAACCAATTTGGCACAGCATAGAAATGAATAATACCAGGGATCATCCACCAATCAAGCAACATCCAAGACATCTACTGATTACTAATGAGGAAGAAATAGGAAAACTTAAACAAAAAAAAAAAAAAAAAAAAAAAAAATTATACAGCCCTCAGTCAGTCCATGAGCCTCTCTCATCATCCAGGTCAGAAAGAAAGATGGTTCATCTACGAGGCGTATTCGGAAACTAAGTACCGTTTTGGAAAAAAAAAAAAAAAAAAAGTAAAACAATTTTTTCGAATTCAATTTTATTTTTACATGAAAATACATGTCTTAAAACTATTTTTCAACATAGTTTCCGCCAATGATCAAACACTTGTCATAGCGGGTGACCAGTTTTTGTATACCATCGTCAAAGAAACTTCCCGCCAGTTTCGATAACCACGACTCCACAGCATTTTTCGTGTCATCGTCAGATCCAAAGCGCTTGCCACCAAGCTCGCGCTTCATGTGCAGGAACAAGTGATAGTCGGACGGCGCCAAGTCCGGGCTGTACGGCGGGTGATCGAACTGCTCCCAATGAAACTGTCGAATTAACGATTGAGTGACACCAGCAGTATGGGGCCGAGCATTGTCATGGAGCAACACAATTCCTTTACTGAGCATTCCTCTTCGTTTGTTTTGAATGGCACGCCTTAGTTTTGTTAAAGTCTCACAATATCGTGCCGCATTAATGGTTTCACCTCTGGGAAGAAATTCAGTAAGCAAAACGCCTTTCCTATCCCAGAAGACAGTGCACATGATTTTTTGTGATGACATTGTCACTTTGAACTTTTGTTTTTTCGGAGAATGAGTGTGTCTCCACTCCATCGATTGTTGTTTCGATTCTGGTGTGAAATGACACACCCAAGTTTCATCACCTGTCACAATTTGGTTTAAAAAGTTTTCTCCCTCATCACTGTACCGCGTGAGAAATGTCAGGGCACTACCAAGTCGCTTTGTTTTGTGAACATCAGTGAGCATTTTTGGAACCCATCGGAAACACAGTTTGCGATAATTCAAGCGGTCAGACACAATTTCGAACAAAACAGTACGTGAAATTTGTGGAAATGCCTCTGAAAGAGTTGTCATTGTGAAGCGTCTGTTCTCATGAATTGCTTCATCAATTTTCCTTACCAAATCATCGGTGACAACAGAAGGCCGACCACTCCGAGCCTTGGCGTGGACATTTGTTTGACCTGCATTAAACATTCTTACCCACTTTCTCACCATTCCATCACTTATCGCGTATTCACCGTAAACTTCTGTCACTTTACGATAAATTTTGGCCGGTTTAACATTCCTCGCGTTCAAAAATTTAATCACGGCACGAATCTCACAGTCAGCGGGAGAACTAATTGTCTTAAACATTTTGAATGTGCACGGCAAACTGAAAACACAACACAACATAGAGCAACCAAAATGGCGACAATTATCAAGTCAGTGAACAAGAAAGACTAGTGCGCATGCGCAGGACGCCTACCACAGCACTGCGCTAGAATGAAACGGTACTTAGTTTCCAAATATGCTACATATATTTTGTGTTGACTATTGCCTATTGAAGGAGGTTCCGAAGAAAGCTATTCTCTTCCTAGATATGACGACATTCTGGACACTTTTTCTTTGAAGCAAGTGGTTTTTGACACTTGATTTAAAGTATGAATATTGGCAGGTAGGCATACATCCTGATGCCTGTGAAAAGACAGCTTTACTACTAGACAAGGACTTTGGCAGTTCTAGGTGATGTGTTTCGATTACATAATGCACCAACAACGTTTGAATGTCTCACAGAGACCATATTGAAAGGTCTTTCCTAGGAGCTTGTCTGTTAGTACTTGGATGATATGATCATCATTGGGAATCGTTGGGGGCCTACAAAATAAAAGGCTTAATAACTCTTTAAGTTTTTACCCCAATTCCAATGTGATAAATGTGCTTTTCCATATATTCAGTACTCAAGCAATGATAAAAATGAAATTCATTCTCATGATTATAATATTGCTAAGAACTAAACAATCAAAACAACAAAAAATCAAAACAACAACATGGACCCGATCACTGGCCGAATAGTTAAGACCATTAAATAGTGGTAGTTTAACCTGCGTTTGAATCCAGACAAGCAAGTTCGCTTTAATGATTTTTCTCATAGGGAACATACACATGAGCCAGTTCTCCTTAGAATTACAAAGGTATCTCTCACCTATAGGACATAAAACTCATATACCCATATTCAAATCATATAATTTAACCTCAATAACATGAACAAATTTAACAGTGAAAGAACATAGTTTTGGTTAGTAATTAGACCCTGATGAAGTGAAATAAGTTCAACAACTAGAATGGAAAATTTGCTGAAATGTATTAACAGTTGAAGAAATGATGAAAAGAAAACTGACAACCCAAGAGAAGTAGTGCTACAGAATTAACAATCCAAATATAAGGAAACACCTAACTGAGAATTAAAGAAGAAAGGAAGATTTGTATAAATCTTCCTTTCTTCTTTAATTGTATAATATAAATATTACATTATATTGTATAATATAAAATTAGGAATATGGTTTTTAAAATTTTCATCAAAGTTTATTTGCATAATAAAATGACCTAGAATCAATTTACAGTCTGCACCTTGCAGAATCCAAAGAGATTGAACTTGTGATGACACGAGAAGTCATGCGAGTTCATGAACAGCTGAAGTCACAAAAAAATCATGTGATCTCTGATGCCACATGCTACTTTAACTCAAATTGACAATTTAATCTGACAACATTGGCAAGACATTATTGTGATTTTATATTCTACAATACAGGTACTTCAGAATATCCAATTAAAATGAGTTAGTATTTTGTTCATTACACATGAATTCTTCATGCTTCGTTCCTATTTTATGACAGACGATAATGTTTTGGTTTTTGATTTCTGCACATGAATATTTTGACTATTAAAGAGTTGTCAGTTTTCATTTAGTATTTAGCTTTTTCACTTCAGCATTATAAGAAAATATCACTATCTTGTTGATTCTAAAGGCACTATTACGGAATTTGGATTTAATATTTCAGTGTTAGCAAATATGTCTTTTATTAAGAAATGCACCTCATATCCAGTTAGATTTTTTCCCACTCTTACACAGGTAGTTCGAAATATGACTCTTTTCACCAGACTTTTCATAAAGATACTTTTGATAAATGGCAGTAAATTATTTTTAATTAGTGAATTGCACAGCTACTATTTAATTCATATTATTAGTTGCATTTTCAAATTACTAAACCATGTATTTAACCAGAAATGATGACAATATTTAGTTGGCATTTAATGCTGATTTTACTGAAGGTTTGAACTTAAGATTATTATTCTGAATTAAAAAATAAAAAACTTTTGGTACATAATTATTATCACATCTTGGAACTGAGATATATAATAATAATAAATGTGGAATAAATCTTTTAATTTTCTTTTACCTGAGAATAACTAAATGCATAAAAAGAAATAGATGAAATTATAATGCAGATAAGTAAAAATGCCAATAAAAATTAATCTTATTTTTTACGACAAAATTATTTATCCCCATGCAAATAAGGTCCAAAGCTATTTTTTTGGAATATATTGATTACATATATTGTTTCAAAAGAATAAATTGAATAAATACATTGAATACAAATTTAATTAATTCTTAGTGCCATTGCTGCAAGGAATGAAATTTAAATTTTAACAAACATGTATACTCAAACTTCACTACTTACATTTTCGGACACTTCAATATATACCTCAATGATAAAGGCTTCCTATTTTTAGTAGCAACAGTAAATCATCTCTGAAAAGCAAAACACAAAAATAAAATGATACAACAATAAATTATATATTTATAACAAAGTTTTTTCAGATGAACTTGTACAAGTACGTTATGTGATAAATTAACTTCCTGTTAGAATCTGCAGGTCATATTTTAAACTAAGATTAAATACAAGGCGAGCCAAAAGTTTGTTAAAACTTCAAAAATTCACAAAAAAAGAAGAAATTAAAATCATTGTTCGCATTGAGTTCTTCTAGCCATTGTGGCTTTTGTAAGCAGGAGTTGGTGCCACCTGTAAATATACTGAGTTAATGAAGAGTGCTTTACACTCTTTCTCTGGACTTTGTCATACTTAAGAGTTAACCCGTTCAGTATGGGCATGTCATATGTGCATCAGCAGCGAACATTACCTCATGGCCGGGTATATCATATTTGAATCACCATTTAATTCACTCTATGGCCGGGCGTATCCCATTTGACTTTTTAGATAGAACGTTTAATTAGTATTTTTTGTTGTCACTAGATGTAGCTTTATGTCTGTTATGGGGAAGTATATCGAAAGTTAAGTATGTGTGCCTTCATTCCTATGCAATGTTTTTTATTTTTGGTGTTTTGTTTTGGAATGAGAGGAAGATTCGTGGGTGGGTGTTGAGCATCATCTCTTTAACTGGGTCATTTGATATAAACAAATGCACATGTTCTCGATGCTTTGAGGTACTTTTTATTTTTATTTTTGGGATATAGGTATCTGAACGTAGAATATGCACAAATGCTAATTCATTAGTGTTGAGTAACGTGATGGCTCTTATTGTGCCATTTCATATAAACAAATGAACATGTTCTCCATGCTCTGGAATACTTTTTAATTTAATTTACATATTTATTTTTTTATCCCCGTATAGTGCGGTAGATGTTCTATCATTAGAGACCTTTTTTATTACTCTTAGATTTTTCCGGCATTGAGACGAATATTTTGTATGGCTTAGCGAAAGTTTTTTTTTTTTTTTTTTTTTTAAATGTTCTATTGCTGGTGTTCTATTTTTTTATGGCAAATCCAAAAGCTTCAGAATCGGAAATTCTTTTTGACATAATCGAAAGTTCAAGCTTACTTTTATAAAATTGCTCTAACAGTCTGCAAAAAATAATAAGCCGGATCCAATTAGAAGATTAAGGAACAATGCAATCTGCAACATTAACTGAAATAGATAATTAGACAATTTTAGCTTAGCTTATACCGTCCGTTTAAACGCGCATGCGTATTATGTGCATGCGTATTACACGCATGCGTCAACACGATGCATGCGCAGAAAGTTTGTAGCTTTGATGTCCGGATTATGGGTGTCCGAATTAACAACTTTTGACTGTATGTTTCTTTTCCTTTATGGCTGACAACACCAGATCTTATATAGTAGCATTAATCATAAACTTTATAAATCAAAGTATTGAAAATGAATTAATTAATCAGCTTAGATAGTAATTCTATCAATTCCTAAAGGAAATATACAAAAAGCACAGCATGTAATTTTATATTTCTCATTTTATGAAAAACAAGTAATTAGAAAGTTTAACAATTTTCTTGCTATTGTAATAGCTTATTTTTAAATCCAAATATTGAAAGGAAGAAAGAATGAAAAAATTAACACAGATCACTGATGTTCACAGAATAGTAATGCTTTTAATATATCCTTAATATCTTTTACAGGTGAAAAGAAAATGTAGTGTGGGATATGTGACAGTATGAAGGGGAAAAAAAAACTTTTTTAAACTTTTATTAAATATCTCATACTTTTTACTTACAATTCAAAGTAATCAGAGAACTTTATAAATTCATGTAACACGAGACATCAAATAAAATATTGTTACGAATGCATGGGCGCAATGGGATAGCTTCCCCGCAAAGCAGTTTTAGGGTTGCCATAAAAGAGCAAGGAGGGTAGGGTTGCCACATTTGGTTACAAAATTGGTAATATAGCATGGACGGATGGAGAACCTTCTGGAACGAGTTCTTACCGGTTTAGCCCAGATTGTTCTCGAACACAAGCCGAAAGCTATATAAACCCTGCTGGTCCACAGTCAGTCAGTAGTATTGAGAAGGTGTCTCGTCTAGCGATTCAATCTCTGTGGAGTCGATCGACTTGACAGCCGGGCAGCGAATGCCGAGTTCATTGAAGGAGTCTCTTAGTGCATCGTTGAGAGAGCTCCGGGAACGACTGAACCAAAGAGTCAGGAGCTGTGCTCGTGTGTCGTCGAGTGCATCGTGAGTCTTGAGAGTACGTGGAATTCCGATAACGACCAAGCAGAGTCGGGTGCTTTGCAGGAATCTGTCTCCACCGTTATTGGCTGACAGTGTGAAGGCTGTGTCTCTGATTGTTCCAGCGTGTTTATAGTAGATCTTCGACGACTGTAAAAGTGTTTGGGAGCTGTCCTGATTAATAATTATAAATACAGTGAGTTTCGATACTTCATCCAGTGTCGTTGTTATTCACTCCAAATCCACAAACCCCGTACAAACGTAACAACTGGTGTCAGAAAGATAGAAAAAACATTACAATATTTCTTAAATCAATATGAATATTAAAACTATGTGTTTTGCACCATTCACAAATAGCAGGCAAATCTAACGCACAAAATAATTGTTCTCTCATGATAGTTGCCTTTTCTTTAAACATTAGCAGTCAAAAAGTGGTTTTAAAAATATATACAATTAATTTTACTTTTAATCAGCTTCACTTTGCCACTGTAACAACACACTAACACCAGATAAACTTGACATAAGTTCTGTGTTCCAATAGAAATCACAGATTACTAAATGGAATGCCATTTATGAAGAGATATGGTTTGCAGGCTATGGTTTCGTTACTGTCTCTGAATAATCCCTCCTGATGAGCAGGAAGAAACTAATAATTTACTATAAAAAACACAGCAAAATAAATAGCTGCAATAAGCTCAAGCACACAGGTATGAATCAATTTGCAGTCATTTACATTTATCTTTTTGTATTATTATTTTTTATAATAAATTATCAATTCACACCTGCTCAGAGTAGTTATTAAAAGAGACAACCATGAACTTGTAGCCTATAACAATTGGCATCATCATCTGCATCTCCTTCAGAGTTTTCCAACTTCATGTTTCTCAAAAGAATGACACAAGACGATGCTTCTTTTATTAAATGAGCTGCAGGTTCAATTTAAGCATTTAGATCTGTGCGTTGAATTAAAAGCTGGTATTTGACTGAAGGGTTCTTCTGACCAAGGAAACTTCACAAGTTAACTTGTCGCAGGGCAACATAAAGTAATTTTCTCTCCTTTTGTAAATACAGAGGAAGTCAGAAAACGTCTGAAGGAGATGCAGGGCAATGGCATCAATTGTTGCAGACTACAAGTTTGTGGCTGTCTCTTTTGTTTGCAATTCTGACTGGTACATTTCCTTTTCTTAAGTCTGCTGGGAGAGCCATAATTAAAAGTCTTAAAAACCTGTATTTTGCTTACGGAAATCAGTAATTACCATGCACAGCTTCTTGTGGGTTTTCACTGCTCAGCAGATAATGCATTTCAGGTACTTTTCCGTTTCGCCGGCGCAAATCTCGCCAAGCAGACTTTGTTGGCGACAACATACAGTATACACATAAAAAATGTTAATTCTAAGAATTTTTTTTTATTTTGAAGGCATAAACATTTTAATATGGTTTAAAATTTTGTAAAAAGCCAATAAATAAAGACAATAAATTTGTAAAAAGACATTAATTTAAGAATTTACTATGATTTTATGGTTCGATATCCTGATTCGCCGGTTCGTATCACGTGACCCCAAGTGATCTCATCTCACGTAAACTACGTTACTAAAATCTAATTCGCTCAGTAATTATCTACATTAATTTCAAGTTAAATCTTAATTTGGAATACAAGTTTAAATGCAAGAATTATTTCAATTCGTACGAATAGCTTACTCAGAAATTATGTAAAACCGTAGTGCTTTACCTCGCTAGTGCATTCTCATTAGAATTGATGAATTTAACACTTGATTTCGCCTTCGGATGAGCGGTGTAAATGCGTTCTAATTGACTTAGAACCTAATTGACTTAGAACTAATTGACTTATTACCGTGAATTGTCTTAGGGGATAAAATTTAAATATCGTGTAAAAATTCTATATATTATTGTATGCCAGTATTGAAAGAAATAATCTGATAAGAAATGGCTTCAACTTGTTTTGAAACTGAGGCGTAAAAGGTTACCAGCTAAGATATTCCGTCTGGCATCAGTTAAACCATTATTGGCGACTTTATCGTTTGCGCCGGCAAAACGGAAAAGTACCGCATTTCATTCTGGAATGGATCATAATATTTTTCCTCAACAATTATCCAGCAGCAGCTCACTTCATTTCATTCATTCGAAACATTGATGTTTCTTCATCAGAGGTGCACAGTGATTAAGAAAATGAACAATTTTATGGTATCTAAAGAACTTCTTTTAAAGCTAAAGTGGTGCGCTATTTGTGCCTTATGGTAATGACGGATAAGTGTTCCTTGTTAGATGTGCTGTCCTTAAAGAGGCAATGTTCTAAATTTCTGTAACATTGTGTACTGCTTTATTCATCATTTTATTTATTTACTGCTTATAGGGCTTGTTTTGTATGTAACTAGCTAAATCTGTAACCACACATTTTGCATGTAAGTGCTTATTTTTTTTATACAGTAATATAGTTTTTTTTAATTCTGATTCCAAGAGAAATGGGAGACATAGACAAATATGCTCCTGACAAGATTTGGTGGTATGTGGCATTTTCTCACCGACTTGACAATTTTCTACAGATTTACGAAAACACAGTTTTGAAGCCCTACAGTTAATTTTCCCCAAAGCTTCCAGAACCATGTGCTACACCACATCCATACTGATACTACACTATATGGCTTCAGCTGGGATGGGTTAGTTGTTAATTCAGGTTACGAGAGTGAGCAGTTCAATAAGATACAGTTCAGTTGTGTTTTAGAGTTTACTCTGAGAGTGATTTTGGAAACTT